CACTGGTGGCTCATGCCTGTAATCCTAGCTACTCAGGAGGCTGAGAGCTGAAGATTGGGATTCAAAGCCAGCCCAGGCAAGAGAGTTCTTGAGACTCTTATCTCCAGTAAACCACCAGAAAACCAGAACGGTGCTATGGCTCACACAGTAAAGTGCTTGCCTTAAGCTAAAGAGAACAGGGAAAGCGCCCAAGCCCAGAGTTCAAGCCCCATGACCAACGCCCCCCCCCCAAAAAAATAAATCAAGCTCAAGGGCTGGAAATGTGTGACTCAAGGATTAAACTGTCTAGCAAGTGCAAGGCCCTGAGATCCAGCTTTGGGGGGGGGGTGGGGGGGGTGTCAAACCAACTCTAGTTCTAGCTTGCCTTCCATTCTTCCCAAGCAGAATTACTTTCTATACCCAAAAGCCCTGCTGCCACAGTGGCATGGTTTCACTCAGTTTCATGTTATTACAATGCAAGTCTCTCTCCACTATGAGCTCCTTAAAGGAAGGGACCCTCACTCATTTATCTTGGCAGACAAACAGCCAGTGTCAATAAATAGATCAAAACAATTAGTGAAAAGATGGATGGATAGCTGGATGGATGGATGGATGGATGGATGGATGGATGGATGGATGGATGGGTGGGTGGGTGGGTGGGTGGGTGGATGGATGGTAGTTGGATAGATAGATGAATGGATGGGTGGTTGGGTAGAGAGATGGATAGTGGGTGGGTAGATGGATGGATGGGTGGGTAGGTAGATAGATGGGTAGATGGATAGATGGAATGATAGGTAAGTGGATGTGTGGACACACAGATGCATGGATGGATAGATAAGATTTATCCTGAATGCTATATGGTGCTATTTGGTGCTTTTCACCCTGGCTGAGAAAGGGTGAAAAGTTCAGGACAGATCACACTGTAATATGTGCTACAATGCCCTTCTCCTCTCTCCACCCCTGCTATATTCCACTCTGTCACTGAACAAGTACACACTGAGTACTTACCCCCCTGAGACTGCTAGGCCCTGGGGACAGTCACTAAAGAACATTGTGAAACTGGTGTGGCTTGGCAGTCTCCATGCTTTTCCTACCTAGACTCCTCCATTCAATGTCATCCCTGCTTGTGAGCGGCCTGTCCTGACCAGTCGCCTAGAATATGTCCCCCACTCCTCAGCTCTTTCTTCTCACACTATCCTCTTGGTTTCCTCATAGCATTGATCTACTCAGCACTGAGTTTGAATGTCAGCTCTGTAAAGCAGGGACTATGTCCTTTTGCCCACAGCTGAGTACCAAGAGTTTAAACCAGACACAGAACAGGCACTTACTATATTATGCTATAATGCATATTTCCTTCTGATCTAGCCTTCATCTCACTAATTCTCTCTTCAGCTTTCCTGACTTGGGATTAAACTCCACACTGAGTTCTTCATTTCTATTCATCTATCTATCAGTTCTGGAATTTACAACTGATTCTTTTTTCTTTTTTGTCAGTCATGGGGCCTGAACTCTGTCCCTCAGCTCTTCAGCTCAACTACAGCGCCACTTCAGTTTTCTGGTGGTTAATTGGAGATAAGAGTCTCATGGAGGGGCTGGGAAGGTGGCTCAGTGGTAGAGTGCTTGCCTTGCATGCCTGAAGCCCTGGGTTCGATTCCTTAGCACCACATAAGCAAAAAGAAAAAAGCCGGAAGTGGCGCTGTGGCTCAAGTGGTAGAGCACTGTCCTTCAGCTCTTCAGTTGAAGGACAGTGCTCAGGCCCAGAGTTCAGGCCCCACAACCGGACCAAAAAAAAGTGTCTCATGGACTTTCCTACTCGGGCAGGTTTTGAACCGCAATCCTCAGATCTCAGCCTCCTGAGTAGCTAGGATTACAGGTGTGAGCCCTTGGTGTCCAGCCTAACTGGTTCTTTACAATAATTTCCAGTTCTCTATCTTTTTAAAAAAAATATCTTTGAACACATGAGGCATAGTTATTTGAAAGTTTTATTGATAATTTTACTGCTTGGATCTTCTGAGCAACTTTATTATCCGTTTCTTTGCTTGTTTTTTGCTTATTAACATATAATCTTTGATTTCTTCAAGGGCCAGGCTCCAATTTCTTGTTCACTCTATTTTCTCAAGTGTAATTTCTCATGGTCCAAACTCTAAGCCCAATTGGGAAGTTTGTCAAGGCCTTCTTTTTTTTAATGGGGTCCTGAATTATTTTTTCTCCTTTTTGCCCCATAAATATATAGAGAGCTCAGCTCAAGTTTGTGTGTGTGTGTGGGGGGGGGTACTGGGGCTTAAACTCAGGACCTGGGTGATGTCTCTTAGCTTTGGGGCTGAAGGTTAACACTCTACCACTTGAGCTTCACTTCAGCTTTTTACTGGTTAATTGAAGATAAGAGTTCTCATGGAGAAAATTGCCCAGGCTGACTTTGAACTATGATCTTCCAAATTCAGCCTCCTGAGTAGCTCGGATTATAGGCATGCGCCATGGGTACCCAGCCTTCACCTCAGTTCTTCAGCTGTCTCTTCTGGAAGTGACAAAATACTTGCAGGAAAAAGGTAGACAAACCGCAGCGCACTTCTGTACCAGCTTGCAATGCCTCTCATTGGTAACTCAGCACAGAGCTTGCTGCTGCCCAGAATAACTGAAGCCATGACATGCAGGCGGGCGGGGTGTGGGAGCAGAGTGGATGCTTTACTTTCACTTGTGCTCTTGGCATGGCTGACACCTATCTGTACTATTTTTGAGGCTATGTAGGCTTGGAAGGGTAACAGGCAAGTCATATATCAGACCATCACCTTAGATTCATGGTCAACGGAAGGGGCCCTTGGGACTTGGAATGAATGAATGAATACATGAATACATGAAAATCAATAGAAAGTTATGGCCAGCATTTAACTGTCTTTTCCACACAGCTGGCCCTCGGGCTCAGTTCTTTCCAATAATACGGAAGAGATTGCCTAGTGCTGGGTCATTTTCAACAGACCAATCTTGGGTTTCAGCATGGGCCTCGTGAACCGGGCAGGGCCCACCCTGCACCTGCTGCTCCTCCAGCTCCCAGGCAGCCTCAGGATGGCCTCTCCCAGGTACACCAAGGCAGCGGAGAATCTGGGAGCCACATGGTAAAGGACCAGGGGAGGGGAGATAGTGAATGGGTGGGGCCTCCTCTCACTTCCCTTCCTACCCACTTGCCTCCTCTCCACTTCCTGTTTCTCTCTCGTCTTGACTTTCACTTCTTTATTCTTTGAGTTGGTCTCAACCTTGGTGGAGAGAAAGCCCTTTGAAGCCACTCCAGTGCCACCTAGGCTTGTGACCCAAGGCACTGAACTATAGAAGGAAAGTATGGGGCAGTCCCCTTACACTCTGGTATGTAAATAAGACAGCCCATGGACTCATGGGGGAGAGAAGGCCAAGTAGGAGTTGGGCTGCAGAGTCAACTCCCGGGCCCAAGGAAGCAGGACAGAAATTGGGACATAATCAATGAATTCTAGACAGGCTCTACACACATGAGCCGGGCGCTGGTGGCTCACACCTGTAATCCTAACTACTCAGGATGCTAAGATCTGAGGTTCGAGGTTCAAAGCCAGCCGGGGCAGGAAAGTCCATGAAACTCTTATGTCCAGAAAACCAAAGTGCCGCTGTGGCTCAATGGGTAGAGTGCTAGCCTTTAGCTGAAGAGCTGAGGGACAATGTCCAGGCCCAGAGTTCAAGCCCCATGACCAACAGAGAGAGGGGGGGAGGGGAGGGAGATTACATACATGGCTGAGGCTTCACAGAGACATGGGGTGAAGTTCTGAGCAGAGTGGACCCACCATTATTTATGACCCTGAACAAAGCACTTTTTCAATCAAACAGAGACAATGATTAAAAAAATAATAATATTTTTAAAAAGCTCCTGCCTGCATCCCTGGGTAGAACAGAGGACCATCCAATATCTATGGGGTTCATCCCCTCACCCCACCCCTCCCTGGGACTTCCCAGCTGCTTCCCACCCAAATCCTGTCCCCTGTACTTTGCTTGTCGCTCTACCTAGCTCCCTACGCACAACCTATCTACCTGTATCTTCACCCTAAACACAAAACACTAGCTGTTAAGAAATTTCAGAAAGAGGGCTGGGAAGGTGGCTCAGTGGTAGAGCGCTTGCCTTTCATGCACGAGGCCCTGGGTTCGATTCCTCAGCACCACATAAGCAGAAAAAGCAGGAAGTGGCGCTGTGGCTCAAGTGGTAGAGCACTAGCCTTGAGCTGAAGAGCTGAGGGACAGCACCCAGGCCCAAAATTCAGGCCCCATGACCGACGAAAGAAAGAGAGAAAGAAAGAATCCCTTTCTGTCTTCTCACTTGAAATGAGGAACCTGAGGCTGAGAGAGAGCGGGGCCTGACTCAAAGCCAGCCCAGGCTCCCTTATTTGCACAGAAACCTGTTGCCCCTTCCTGAATCTAAGCACGCCCAGAACCTTCATTGGAATCTGCAACTTTATCTTGAAACCTACATTCCTTCTGCTCTTACCTTCAGTTCCTACCTTTTGTCTCAGTCTTACACACACACACACACACACACACCATTTATATAATATTTACTATTGTTACTTTTTTGCACTGGGTTATTATTAGTAGATCATGGTGGTGTGTGCCTAAAATCTCAGCATTAAGAAGCCTAAAGCAGGATGACTGTGAGTTCAAAGCCAGCCATGGCCATGTTGTAAGAGCAAAAGAAATCAAACAGAATGGTCTATCACTGCATTTGAGCCTTCTGAACATGGCTCAGCGATAGCATTTTGGACCTGGAGCCCCAGATTTTGTCATGTGGTCAAACCATGATTTCATATCCAAGGTTCAACTCTCCCCAGCTGCCCCTTTGGCTTTGCTGATCACTTATGTGCTGGCACTTAACCTGGTCCTTAGCCAAAGAACTCATCTATTGGCACCTTGAGTCTGGTTTTATCCACCCCCAGTTCTGCAGGAAGGAAGCCGCTGCCCTCCCCACCCTTAAGGCCCTCCTTCCTTCCCCTGCCCCTCCCGCCTCCTAGTTCAAAAGCAGCTAAGCCGAGAGACGCTGCAGACAACCCTCAGTTCCTCTCCTGAAGCTGCTACTGAAAGCCTGGCAAGATCCTTCCAGGATGAAGGGCTTCCTCTTTCTCCTACTGGCCATCATCTTCCTGCTCACCATTCAGGTAGGAGCAGCCCCTGGAGCCATTGCAGGACTCTCCCGACCACTCTCCCGGCATGGGCAGGAGAGCATGCAGGCTCCTGGGGACCCGGCCTTCTGCCATGGGGACAGATGCAGTCAGGCTCCAGCAGGGACCAGGGCTATGGAGGCCTGCGTGTCTGGGCTCCCAGCCTAGCTGTGGTCAGTGCACAGAGGCTGAGCACCAGTGGCTCACGCCTGTAATCCTAGCTACTCAGGAGGCTGAGATCTGAGGATCACAGTTCAAAGCCAGCCCGGGCAGAAAAAGTCCCCTTGAGACTCTGATCTCCAATTCACCACTCAAAAGCTGGAAGTGGTGCTGTGGCTCAAGTGGTAGAGGGCTGGCCTTGAGCACAAATTGATCAGGGGCAGCCCTGGGCCCTGAGTTCAGCAACAACAAAAGCTGCCTGAGTAGAAGCCTTATTCCCCTGTGGGGATCCTCCTAGGGCGCCAGGCACGCAGGGGTTCACAAGGAGCTCTGCATTACTAGGGAATGGAGGAAAGTGAGGACTCAGCCTGGTGAGGATGGTCCCCTCTACTGGGGGCCTGTGGAATTGAATGTCCCCAACAGAGGCTGCTCTGTTCTTGGAAGTGGCAGAGGGTCCCCCACCCCTGCCCGAGCGAAGCCTGGGGATGCAGTAATGCAACACAGATAGATATGTTCGCTTCAGTCTAAGAATCAATGCTGTTCCAGACAGCGGCTTCCACAGTTTCCATGTGGCCAGAGAGGGCTTTCTTAGTCAATATAGCAGACAGGTGTCATCAAGTTCTTGATCAAGAACAATTTGTTCAAGCAGCAAAGATAGCTCGATAACCATCCAAAATAGTTGATTTTCCACCCAGAGTAGCTTCAGTTGCAGCTCGATCAAGCATTAAGGACAACTTGTCACCATCTGGCCCATCCATCCCCTACCCCCCTCCTTCGCCAAGGTCTTTTCACCCAGCCCTGCTCCCCATGACTGACTGCTGGACTCCCCTCATTTGGAAGATGAGAAAATGGGGGTTAGGGAGCCCTTGGCAAGGTCGAGAGGTCCAGGCTTGGGGCTCCTTTGTCTCCCTCTGTGCCCGAGAGGCTAATGGTCTGGACAGGCGAAAAGAAGTTTCTAGAAGAGGCTGGGCAGGGACCACCCTCGGTCCCTGCCTGTGTCAAGACAGGAATCAGCTAAACATCCTGACGGGACTTTGGGTGGTAAAGGCCGAGAGTTAGGGGAAATTGTGTGTGTGGGTTTGGAGGAGCTGTGCCCTCAACATACACAGGCACATCTGAGCACCCCCACTCTCCTCTTGCAGATACAAACCGGAGTCTTGGGGAATCAGACCACCCCTGCTGCCTCCAGCCTCGTCACTGCCACCACCACCAGCCGCAGCAGCAACAAAGGCTCTACTAAACCCACTGCCAAACCAGCCAAGAGCGGCGTCCTAGCTCTTGGTGACATGGGCCGTGGCAGTTTCTTCTTCTTCTTGACCAGCACCCTCATTCACCTCTTCTACCACAACTGAGGTGACAGCCTCACCACCCCCAGCACTATGCCCCCTTCAAAAAGCTGCCACCATTGCTAGCCTGAGTCATCCTCCCGCAGTCCTCGGCAAGGGCTGATCCCGGAGGTCCCAGGTGGGAGAAATTGACAAGTGGGGTGGTGGGGGCAATGATCAAAAATGGGGAGGTAATGATGTGGAAGGAAAGAACCACCAGCTGGGGGGGGTCAATAAAGTTGTCCTTGGACTGGAGGGAGTCCCGTGTGTGGTCATCGGTCATCCCTAGGCCCCAAGAGTCTTTAGCAAGCCATGCGCCAGTGGCTCACGCCCGTAATCCTAGCTACTCAGGAGGCTGAGATCTGAGGATCAGGGCAGGAAAGTCTATGAGACTCTTAGCTCCAATTAAAGACATGTCCTTCCCCCTCCCCCCCGCAAAAAAAACCAGAAGTAGATCTGTGGCTCAAAGAGGTAGAGCACTAGCCTTGAGTGCAAAAACTCGGACAGTGTCTAAGCCCTGAGTTCAAGCCCCATGACCGATTAAAAACAAAAAAAGTCATCAGCACAGAGGAGCTCCATGACACCACCAGCAGGGCCCCAGTTATTCCACACACACAGCCCCAGCTTCCCAGCTCTCCTATGCCCAAGGTCCTTGCAGAGATGAGACCCAGATGCTGTCCCCTTCCCCTCACCCTTACTTATGTCCCTAAGCGTTTGGAGGTGAAGGTCTCAGAGATCCTATTCCAACCTGATAGACCTTGGGTAATCCCAAACTCAAGACTCTCCACCACCACCCCATAACTCAGAGTGAGAGCAGGGGTCTCCCCAATCCTGGGAACTACTTGGCCTTACATCTCTCCCATGGGGCTGGAGTTGAAGCAGGAGGCAGCTGCTCACTCATCCACCAAGGGTTGTGGGGAAGTGGGGGAGGTCGGGTAGCGGGGTGTCAGGGAAGACCAACAACCACTCTATAGAGAGCCTCACCCCTCCAGGGTTTGGGCAGTTGGTGGCACCTTTCTCTGGAAGAAATGGCCACACTATAGGTCTGGGGTAGGGGGTGCTGCGTCCAACCAGGTTAGTGACATGGGCTCTGTCTGCTTTGGGTGCTTTGAGACCAAACCGTCGGTCTCTGAGGTCAGAGTAGGGGTGGTGGAGAGGAGCCTGGTGACATCATCTGTCTTGGCCAGCTCCCTGTGCCTACTCCGGTTCCACTTCAAAGTTTTCTGCATCCTGGGAGCCATCGGGCCGGGCATGGTAGCTGAGGAGAGTCCTGCTCCGCAAGCGCCTCCACTCTCTGTCCTCCTTCCTGTCACTGGGTGTTCCCCCTGCCCGCTGGAGTCCTTCACTGGACCGCGCGCGCCTTACGTGGGCTCAGAGCAGGCTCAGAACAGATGTTGGTCCAATCCCAGGGTTCCCCCTGGTGGCACAAGGTGGCATTACATCTGAGCTCCAACAACACCCCCACTACCCAAGCCACTCTCCTCTAAAAGAAAAAAAAAAACCACATCTGCCTGGAAGAAAGCAGAGAAAGAAGGGCCGTGATCCTCTTCCCCAACTCTCAACATAGAGATGACAACAGCTGACAGCATAATAATTAGAAAATAGCTTATGTTACAACAAAAACCTAAAAAACATTTCATCCCAGCAAAGCCTTGGCAGGGCAGGGCGGGACTGGGGGGGGGGGGATGTTAGGGAGGAGGAGGGCGAGTCAAAGTACATGGATGGTCCAGATCTGGGATGCTCTGTCCTTGTCCAGCTCCCACAGCACCACGTGATCCCGATCATAGCCTCGGCCACCTGGGGGGTATTAGAGGTGGTCAGAGAGATCTGGGGGCAAGGCTGGCCTCGGCCCCCCCAGGTGCCTGGCCCCCTGCGCACAGCGCACATTACCCTTCACATCCAGGATCTGGCCTTCAAACATCTGGCTGCAGATGTGGCCCAATTCGTCGATGCTCCATGTCTGGCGTGGCAGGCGGCTCTCTGCCCACAGCACCACCTTGGAGCCTGGGCTGGGAGGTCCAATCACCTGCAGACTCATGGTAGGGGCCACCTGAGGCCCCAGGGGGTGGTTAGGCACTGTTTTCCTTACAGGGACTCTGGGTGTAAATTCTGACAGGGCTGAGACCCTAGGCAAGCCTCTCTGTCCTCTAAGTTGTTTGTTTATTTTGTGTTTTTTTGCCGGTCCTGGGGCCTGAACTCTGGGCCTGAGCACTGTCCCTCAACTCTTCAGCTCAAGGCTAGCGCTCTACCACTTGATCCACAGTGCCACTTCTGGCTTTTTCTGCTTATGTGGTGCCACTGAGCCCTTTTTTATTTGTTTGAAGGGCTGGGAAAATATTAGTTCCTGCAGGAAGTCTTCTTTGATCAGTTTCTCAAAGTGTAGGATTTAATACCAGAAAAAAAAAAACTGGGGGCTGGGAAGGTGGCTCAGTGGTATAGCGCTTGCCTTGCATGCATGAGGCCCTGGGTTTGATTCCTCAGCACCACATAAGCAAAAAGAAGCCGGAAATGGCGCTGTGGCTCAAGTGGTAGAGCACTAGCCTTGAGCTGAAGAGCTGAGGGACAGCACCCAGGCCCAGAGTTCAAGCCCCACGACCGACAAAAAAAAAAAAAAAAGAAAAATACAAAGTGGATATCATTATTACAAGGATTCAATGGAAAGGGAGGCATGGCTCAAGTGGTGAACCATCAGCCTTTAGCAAAAAAGCCAAGTGAGAGCTGGGTGCTGGTGGCTCACGCATATAATTGTAGCTACTCAGGAGGCTGAGATCTTGAGGATCCCAGTTCAAAGCCAGCCCTGGCAGGAAAGTCTGTGAGACTCTTATCTCCAATTAGTCACCAGAAAACTGGAAGTGGTGCTGTGACTCAAGAGGTAGGGCGCTCGCCTTGAGCCAAAGAGCTGAGGGACAGCACCCAGGCCCAGAGTTCAAGCCCCATGACTGGCAAAAAAAAAAAAAAAAAGTCTGGGTCACTGTCTGTGTGGCACACTGAGGCCCTGAGAAGAGAATGGCTTGCGGGTGTGTGTGTGTGGGGGGGGTCCTACCTCTGCATTCTCTACTCCCCCAAGGCATCATGGGGCCCGTTCCTGACTGGGCTGGGCTCCCTAAGATAGGCTTGCAAATAACTGGGGCTCAGCTGTCCTGGGCCATCTCCTAAATCGTACCTGGTTCTTCAGCAGCCCGTCCTCATAGAACCAGATGCAGCTGCCCCTGGCTTGGGGCCCAGACACAACCACACGGCCAGCCTTCATGTCCTCCACACGGTCTGGCACTGCCAGGAATCCCCCCAGGGCTGAATTCCACAGACGGAAGTAGGCTCGGCGCTGGGGGAATGAAGAGGCAGAGAGTCAGGAGACCGAAGACAGGCATGGCCTCCCAGCCTCAGCTCCGCATCCTCCCAAGACCAGGCCTCCACACCCTGCTCCCGAGTCTCCCCTTCTTATGCACACATACTGTGGACACATGCATAAAACACACACACAAACACACAGTTCTATGTGTGTGGGAATGCCTCTGGCCCACGGAATCGTGGCACAGAAGTTCACAGAGGGCAAAGACACACTTAGACGCAGCCACCAGACCCACACAGCCTAGAAAACACACAGGCCTCACCCCAGCCTACTTCCTGCCAGATCAATACGGAGATGTATGGAGGGATTCAGATGCACACACATGCACTTGCATGTGTGCATACACATACACACATACACACACACACATAGAAATGCTTTCACATGCCCATGCCAAAGAGAGGCCCTGATGCGGTGAGTCCCACACCACAAATCAGTGGGGCTCTCCATGTGGGGTGATAACAGCAGTAGTAATAATAATTACAGCTCACAAGCCAGGCCCCAGTGGCTCCTATCTGTAATCCCAGCTACTCAGGAGGCTGAGCTCTGAGAATCACAGTTTGAAGCCAGCTCCACCCCTCTGCCCCCTGCAAAAAAAAAAAAAAGAAGTGGATCTATGACTCAAGTGGTAGAGAGCACAAAAGCTCAGGAACAGTGCCCAGGCCCTGGGTTTGAGCTCCAAGATGGCACCAAAAAAAAAAAA